CAGTGTGATGATGAAAGGTGATTGAGAGAAAACAAATAGGGAAAAAGAAAGAACATTTTGAGCTCTGTTTTCTTTTTTGTTTGTTGGCTTTTGACTAAAGTTGTAGTTAGAGAATCTATTTTATCTCTCCAAGTTTTTTTTTTCTTTTAAATTTGTGGTAATTCAATTTGAGATTAGTAGTAATGTTATTATTATAGTGGAATTCGTATCATATAAAATATTGAAGCCAAATTGGACTTTTTCTAATTATAACCATGTTTGAACGTGAGAAAATATAAGAATCTATTGTTGAAAATTTTGTATTTTTTTTCGTACAGAAAATGGATTACGTTGATAAGACCAAAGATAATATGTCCAAAGAAAAGTCAACGAATAATGCCGAACCACAACTGCTTTATACTTTTTAATCAACGCGACAATATGGTTTAGGACCGCAAGTACATTGACTTCAACGTAATTGCACGAATCATATGAATTGAGAGAATAATGTTACTTCAAACTGGGTCAGTGAATTGCTTGTTGGATCCAATTTAACTGCCTAGTTGTTCTCAAATTGTCTTTAAATTAGGCCCATATCTACATAATATATCACATATATACGAATTTATTGAAAAAGGTTACAAAACAGACCAAATTAGGTCTCCGCCGTTTTCTCTCTCGAACGAATTCACGTATTAACGTATGTTTTCTTTTATTCGTTTTCCAATCTCAAATTGTAGCTTCAAATAAAGAGATTGATTATAAAATTGGTCGTGTATATCTTGAATTTTGAGAATTGGTGTAATATTTACTTGACGCTTTTTTGTCATGATTTGTTTTTGTTTTTTGTTTTTTGGGTTACTGTGATCTTTAGAAATTTTAGTTTTCAGTGGCTTATGGAAGATCTCTCGTTTTGCTTATTGTTTTTATTTTGATGGCTTATCATGTTATATGTTAGGGTTTGCGTGAGAGGCTGAAAAAGGGTTTATTTTGTTCCCTATTGATATTTTATTTTTTTGCAGAATGATATGTGCACTGTCATGGATACCAAAAGGGCTGCAAAGGCCATGCCCGTTCGTGCTCAAGTTCCTTCCAAGGATGAAATCGAAAAGCTCAACAAGAGATGAATTTTATAGC